TGGATGTATAGTAGGCTATGCTATCTAGGATTATGTAAATACACTCTATGATGTTTGCCCAATGACAAAATCACCTAACATTGCATTTCTGAGAATGTATCTCCATTATTAAGTGATCCATGACTATATGTATAGCCATAAAGGAGAATGAGTATATAGTTTTGTATGCATTGATATAAAGAGATTTACAAAATCTATTATGTAAACAAAGCAAGGGCAGATCAGCAAGTATGATATGCTACCATCTGTATAATAAATAAAAAGAAATATGGGTGAATCTACATATATGCAAAGTGGGTATTGGGAAGATTTCACAATGGGCTGGTTAGGCTGGATGCCTTTGAAGGGGAGTGGAGCTGATTGAAATGAAGAGATGAGAAGAAAATTTTTTACTGAATTCAATTTTTATGTTCCAAATTTTGAACCATGTGGATGTCTTAATAGTAAAAAATAATCTTTAAAAGTTTCTAAATAGAAATGAAAGGGGAGGAACAAAAGAAAGGAATAATTTTCTTATGTGTAATAGGGCCAGTGAAGGTTTTCTAAAAACAATAGACTTTTATCAAGCCTATACCAATCTGAAATACATCTTTAAAGCTCCTCTTCCTGATATTAACATTTACAAATTTATCAATGGCTGGGTTCCAAAAATGTGATTAGAGAATCTAGGGAGAAGAGATGCTAAGGAGAAGGTAAATGATTCTTTATAGAGAGCATGAAAGTAGATACCTGGAAAGCTGGTGTAGTTGATCATGAGGTATGCAGTCTATTTAGAGTTTGAGCACATACTCAAGACGTGATAGAGAGCTGCCTAGAAATTGTTGATATGCTGTTCACAAAATTATATTTTAGATCCAAGTGGGAAAAAAACAATACAACTGGGTAAAAAAATGTAGACCCTCTCTGCTGAGTAAATCATCTTAAAGACATAGACACTAGGGCATGCACAGTGGCTTATACCTGTCATCCCAGCACTTTGGAAGCTGAGGCAGGGGGATCACTTGAGGGCAGGAGTTTGAGACCAGCCCAGCCAACATAGTGGAACCCTGTTTTTACTAAAAATACAAAAATAAGCTGGGCATAGTGATGAGAGCCTGTAGTCCCAGCTACTCAAGAGGCTGAGGCAGCAGAATCGCTTGAACCTGGGAGGCAGAGGATGCAGTGAGCAGAGATCACACCACTGTACTCCAGCCTGAGTGACAGAGCAAGACTCTATCAAACAACAACAACAAAAAAAGACATACTAATTCCATTCATTCATGGTTCAAGCAACACTCTAAAGCAAATATAGATTCTTCCTCCTCTGTATACCAATAGCAAGCCTTGCACACCTCTGTTTTCATATAAGTCATGCTTCCCCTGCTGGCAGATCTTTCAGTGTGATTGTTGTCTTTAAAGAATCTTTATTTTTCACCATTGTATCGAAGGCATATAATAGAGTAAAATGTATAGAGATTTAATATCTGTTCAACAAATAAATGACTTTGAAAGGAAAAGGAGACTATCTGAAGTTAAATACTTCTTAGAAAGATAATTTAGAATACAATTTGGTTTGCTGAAAAGTGGGTTACCACCCTGTAAATAGAACTTACAGCAAATAAAGTAAATCCTTAGGGAAAAGTATTACATAGGAAACTTGACGAGCTGATAAGAGAAAACTTTAAACTTTGTGGGGTGAGGAAAGAAAGAAGTAAAACCACATACTATGAATTATGACAGACATTATATATACTCAGGCATTCAAGCATGCAAGTACTAGTATTTCTGGGAGGTGAATAAGACTTAGGATTTACCAAGGCCTTATTTTCTAATACAGGAGACACATCATGCAAATAAATATCCACAATGAAGGTAGCATGTGGCATAATACACATATAGATAAAATAACCATGTTGCTTGGCCTTAAAGTATGAGTTGGGTTTGGATGGTGGAGAAAGTTAATCCATATAGGGTAATTGGAACAAATGCATGGGTGTATGCTTAATAGTATATATTGCAAACATCAAATTTCATTGACTGGAATGTGGCATGTATAAAGTGAATGAGTAGAGGATGAACCCTAAAAGATGAGGTGGGACAAGACTATGGAAGCCTTTCATACCCTGCTATCACTCTAAGAAGACTCTATTCAATAGAAAATGGAGAATCATTAAAAATTGAAGGGCATGATTACAGTGTGTTTTAACAAGACTACAACTGTAAACCTGACATAAAAAAAGAATGATAATAGCAAATTTGCCAAATATTTCTTAAAGAAAAATAATGCATTATTAAGAGAGTATGGTTCTGCCACAAGAACAGAAAGGTGAGTGGAACAGAGGAGAAGTTCCAGTAACAGATCTTGGTGAATATTAAAAAGTAGAAAAAGATAAAGGTGGTATTAAGAAAAAAAAAGTTGGAATGAAAATAATTATTTAGTAGAACTTAATGGATCAAATGTTTATTAACTTAGGGGAAAAATTACACTAATGTCTTATATTTCAGTAGCTAACTAACACCAGGAGACAGATATGGATTGTGAAGGGATTATGAAACTATGTGCATAAAGCTCTTGGTTATTATATTTAGTAATTGCACATTTATGTTGCTTAATTTGTCTTAACATTGTAAGACAAACCATAATTGTCTTAACATTGCAAGACAAATCATAATTGTCTTACTAATGACAAAACATTGTGCTTAGTGAATGTCTTAGTTCAGGCTGCTATAATAAGGTACTATAGACTAGGTGGCTTAACAACAGAAATTTATTTCTAACAGTGCTGGAGGCTGGAAGTCCAAGATTAGAGTGCCAACGTGGTGGAGTCTACTTTCAGGTTACAGACTGTGGACTTCTCTTTGTGTCTTTACATGACAGAAAGAGTAAGAGAGCTCTCTGGGAGTCCCTTTATAAGAACACTAATCCTATATATGAAGACTCCATTCTCAGAACTCTAATTCACTTTCAAAGCTCCACAGCCTAATACCACCACATTGGGGTTAGGATTTGAAGGTTGTGAATTTTAAGTGGACAGAGACATTCAATCCATTTCTTCATAGATGTTTCTTAATAGTGTTTTCTAAATCAGTTAATTCTAAAAGTTATTCTCTGAAATAGAACTTTCTTTTAAGGTTTCTAATACGCATATTTTGGAAATGACTGGCATACACCAAAATGTGTTAAAATATTAAATAGTTTAATACAAAAATGAAGTTATTACACAATTGGGAGATAATATATAGTACAATTTATTTTCTAAACTTTTGATTAAAAAATTAGAAAGGAAAAGTTTGGTAGAATTTAGCAACCCATTCAACTTGCCATACACCAAGTACAACAAAATAAATTCAAAGGTACATGACAAATTGAAAAAAAAAACGCATTGGCAGATTGTCATTAATGCGTTCACATAGAAATTTAACATGTATTTGTTTCCTTTTTCTGACGAGTTAAGGGAGAAAACTTAATAAGCATCTGCTGCTATCCCTTTGCTTCCAAAGAATCAAGATGAGTTTCAGGATTTTGACTTTAACGACTAGAAGGATGAATGTCAGTTAACTGAGAAAATGTGAGAAGAGCAGTCCCTTTGGAGCAAAAATACATTGCAATTTAAGAAAAATTTAATAGCATTCATATGAGAGAATTCTTACTAATGAATACTAGAAAGCACATAGAAAAATGAGCCAAGTCATAAGTAATTAATTTAAAATAAAGTAAAATGGCTAATAGACATAGAATAAAATTCAAACTCACACATAATAAAAGTCAAATGAAACAATACATATGTATTCAGCACTTACTATATATGAGTCACCTTTGTAGAATCTGGAAACAAATAATAACAACAAATAAAAAATCTCTGGTTTTAGGGGCTTACACTATAGTGGAAGGATATATATATATATATATATATATATATATATATATATCTCCTGTCAGGTTATGTATATGTATATATATGTATATGTATATATCTCCTTTCAGGTTATATATATATATATATATATATATATATATCCGGTTTCAGAACCTAAAACCAGATATTGTTCATTTGTTGTTATTTTTTGATTCCTGATATATAATATATATAAGGAAACCTTGTGGTATCTTAAAGGGGGGTGATTGTTAAAGGGGAAAAAACAACACAGGGAAGATGAATAAGAAATAGTGAAGGTGGAATTGCAATTTTATTAAGACGGCCAGAGAAGCCCTTAAGTCCTGAAATGAATGAGACAGTAAACAAGTCATGCAGAAATCCAGCTAAAAGCATTAGGAAGTACAAAGACCTTGACATGAGAGAATGCCTGGCATGGTCAAATAGCAGGACATTCAGTGTGGATAGAGCAGTGTGAGTTGGGAGAGAGGAATAGAAGATAAGATCAGAAAAGTTGAGGGGAAAGACTTTGCAGTTCATGGAAAAGAACTTGGTGGCAACTGAGAGAGATGGGAAGCATTTGAAAAGTTTAGGACAAAGGGATGACATGATCTATTTATATTGTTAAAGAATTTATTACTCTGGCTGCTGTATAGAGAATAAAATGAAGGAAGTTGGGAGCATTTGGAAAAGAAAGTGCAAGAGAGATGAAAATGGTATACTGAGAAGCTGAGAAAAGTAGGAGACAAGCAGATATGATTTGAAATCTAGTAGGATGTGCTGACTATTATATGTTGAAAGTAAGACAAAATTAAGAGTCAGATTGTCAAAGCAGGCTCACAGTGAACTCTAGATCTTACCCAGTATCAAATTTGCCAGTAAATTACGCGTACAAGTAGTAGTCAGACACGAACTAAGCATTCTTCCCTTTGAAAGGTGTAAAACCATCAGGTATATCCCTCTATAAAATTTCTTTTTCATGTGTGAGGACATGCTCTGGTTCAAATTTAACATGAGAGGTTAAGAAATATATGTGGGGAAAAAAATGAAATATATGTGATATGGCCAGGCATGGTGGCTCACTCCTGTAATTCCAGCATTTGGGAGGCCAAGGCAGGCAGATCCTGAGGTCAAGAGATTGAGACCAGCTTTGCACAGTGGCAGTATCATAGCTAATGAGGTTTATCCGAAGTGCGATTATTGCTAATTGAACACTTTTCCCAATACCCTGCCATGACAACTTGAAATGTAGTCGATGTTGGCAATTTTTGGCAGTCTCTACAGGGACTGAATAAAAATAAATTAATTAATGAAAGTGAGATTGAGACCATCCTGGCCAACATGGTGAAACCACGTCTCTACTAAAATACAAAAAATTATATGGGTGAGGTGGTGCACACCTGTAGTCCTAGCTACTTGGGAGGTTGAGGCAGTAGAATCACTTGAACCCAGGAGGTGGAGGTTGCAGTGAGCCGAGATTGCACCATTGCACTCTAGCCTGGGTGACAGAGTGAGACTCCATCTCAAAAAATAAAATAAAAATAAAATAAATATATGTGATACATTGCTTGCACAGAATGAGTCATTTCAGTTACAAAGCATCTTCTTTTTATATTTCTTTAATTACATAATTTATGTGATTTTTAAAAATGGAACCATGCCTTATAAATTCCTGGATTATGAGTTTTATTTTGTTGGTTTTTTTTTTTTTTTCCAGCCTAAGTTATCCCAGCCCAGACCAGATATATCCTGCTAAAAGCGTTTCTTAGATAAGATCTCCCCACTAGTAAATACTATTTGTATGTTTGGTAGAATTGTGATTGGCATGTTTACAGAAGAATCTAAATGGCTTATCTCTTTCTTTCGCAGATGGGTTACAAAGGTAAACAGATTGAAAGCCAGCTGCTAAGCTTTGCCCTTCTAGAACATCAAAGATGATTTTCAGGGGTTTTCACCTGAATAACTAGAAACATGGAATTGTCATTAACTGTGATAGTAAAGACAGGAAGAGCAATTCCTGTGGAGTAAAAGTGTAGGAGCTCAATTTTGCACAGTTTAAATTTGAGATGCAAATTAAGGTAAAGCATTCAGATAGAAATGTCAGATAATTAACTTTATGAATTTGGAATTCAGGGAGATATCTAGGGTATAGGTATAAGTATGGGAATCATTAGCATATAGACAATATTTAAAGCTATGAGATAGGATGTGATCATCAGGAGAATGAGACTAGATAAAAAATAGAAATTAAAATAGCAACATTAGAATCAATAAAAAAAGGAAAGTCAAAATATTAATCATGATCCTTAGTACATGCATACCATTTCAGTTAGAAATTTCCATTTCAGTAATTTGCCCTATGGGATAATCATGGATATACAGAAGGATGTTTGGTTTAGTGTTTGTTATCTTTAATAAGGAGATACTGAAAACAGCCAAATGATAGAAAATGTTAATTGTGTTCATTCATCCATTAAGTAATTTAAAAGATATGGAAAATGCTATGGTTTGGCTGTGTCCCCACCCAAATCTCATCTTGAATTATAGTTCCCATAATCCTCATGGAGGGATCAGATGGAGATAATTCAATCATTGGGGAGGTTTTCCCCATTCTATTCTTGCAGTATGGAGTTGTTGGTTCCCAGAAGATCTGTTGGTTTTATAAGGGGCTTCTCCCTTAACTAGGCACTCATTTTTCTCTCCATCTTTCTCACCACATGAAGAAAGATATGTTTGCTTACCTTTTCTTTTCTTTTTTTTTTTTCTTTTTTTGAGACGGAGTTTCGCTCTTGTTACCCAGGCCGGAGTGCAATGGTGCGATCTCGGCTCACCGCAACCTCCGCCTCCTGGGTTCAGGCAATTCTCCTGCCTCAGCCTCCTGAGGAGCTGGGATTACAGGCACGCGCCACCATGCCCAGCTAATTTTTTGTATTTTTAGTAGAGACGGGGTTTCACCATGTTAACCAGGATGGTCTTGATCTCCTGACCTCATGATCCACCCGCCTCGGCCTCCCAAAGTGCTGGGATTACAGGCTTGAGCTACCGTGCCCGGCCTGTTTGCTTACCTTTTCATCATGATTTAAGTTTCCTGAGGCCTCCCTCGCCATGTGAAACTGTAGACCAATTAAATCTTTTCCTTTTAAAAGTACCCAGTCTCAGGCAGTTCTTTTATCATAGCAGCATGATAATAGACTAATACAAAAAATAATAAAATAGATTTAGAATCAGCTTAGATACACCAAAAACATATATTTTTACATAGATTTTTTTTAATTAGGAAAGTCTTCAAAATGTTACCACAAAATTATCACTGAATGGTAGGTTTTTCTTTTTCTACTTTTCTGTATTTTGCATATTTTCTATGTAAATTATATATTCTGAAAAATTTCATCTAAGTAGAAGGGGAAAATGAATTACATGAAAAAGTAAGATGGACTCAGATTTTAAAAATATAAAAATTGTTTTTGAGCTTGTTACTTTTACTCTCAAAATACATTTATTATTGGGCATCCACCATGTGCCAGACACAGGGAATAAAGCAATGGATACAAAAGCCAAAGTCCCTTCCCTCTTGGGGCTGACATTCTGACAATAGGAGATATATGATATGTTAGGAAGTTAGAAAATATGAATGTTTTCTTCAAAAGTACTATGAAGATAAATGAGGCATGATAGAGGGCAAATTGTCAAATTGATGGCACACTTTGTGTCACAGTAAAAGTATAATTTGGAGTAGATGTAATAGTGAGCATCCTTTTTTCATTTCCAATATTGGCTGAAAAAAAATCAGTATTCCACCATTAAAAATGATGCTTGCTATTGATATTTTTGTAAAAATTATTTATCAGTTAAGCATATGTCTTATATTCCTAGGCTGCTATGAGTTATGAATATATTTTGAATTTATCATTTCTTATATGTCTATTGAGATAATCCTACTTTTCATCATTATTCTACAAATATTATAAAATATATTGAATGATTTTAAAATGTTAAACCAGCAGTGCATTCCTGAAATAAGCCCACTTTTGTTTATATTACATAAATTTATAATTTTTATATTTGTCTTTTGTATTTATATTATAAATACATACATATATATATTTATTTTTATTATTTTTATTTTTTTAGATAGGGTCTCTCATTCAGGGTTAGAGTTCAGTGGTGCCATCTTGGCTCACTGCAACTTCCACCTCCTAGGCTCAAACTATTCTTCCAGCTCTGTCTCCCTAGTAGCTGGGAAAACAGGTAAGTGCTACTACACCCAGCTAATACTTTATTTTTTGTAGAGACAGGGTTTCACCACATTGCCCAGATTGGTCTCAAATTTCTGAGCTCAAGTAATCTACCTGCCTTGGCCTTCCAAAGTGCTGGGATTACAAGCATGGTGACTGTACCGAGCCTATATTTTATATTTATATATTATTTGTGTAAATATTTATTATTTAATATTTAAAAATATTTACATTCAGTGAGAAAATTGCTGTTATTTTTTTTTTCCTTAAATGTTTGGCAGAATTCACAACACTGTATGTAGGGTATTCATGCCAAAAAAAAAAAACACACATTACCTGGAATCACTCAAACCTCCAGATCTAACTACTTACTGGTTCCCAGAAAATTTGGGAGATTCAGGGACGTTAAATGACACATGAAGAAGTCATCAGCCATATATAAAATGACAGAAATTTTACAAAGTAAATAACCTCATTTCTTCATATTTAGTATTTTTCTAATATCTTCTAATATTTTTCTAATATCTTCATATTTAATATTTCCTCAAGAAATATTAAAATCTCTTCACCTAATATGGAGAACAAGAGAATAAGGATACTTGTTATCACAGCTTTGATTTCAAATTGTCCTTTTTACCATCTTTGTAACTGTGCTTTGTAAAAGAGGGAAAGGAAAGGAGAAATAGAGACAAAGGACGACACACTAACCAAGTGTAGACCATTTTGTTTTAATTTGAACAAATCAATGGCAGAAGACATTTTTGAGACAATATAGAAATTTGAACATCATCTAGATATTACAAGACATTAAGAAATATGGTTAATGTCAGATATTTTAAAGGTTCTGTAGTTTAAAAAGTTATGTAGTTTATAAAGTTTAAAAAGGTTCTGTAATTTATAAAGTCATGTATGTTTAAATGAACTGAAATTTTTTCAGGGATTAAAAAACTTCAGAAAATAAGTAAAGTAAAATACACAGTATGGATGGGAGTAGAAGAACCAAAATTAGCAAACTCTTATTGAAACTATGTGTAGTATATGGACTCATTATATATTGTTCTTTTTATTTTTGTGTGTATTGAAAATGTCTGTCATAAAAAGTTTGAATTTTTTTAAGTCTGTTTTGCTTTATTATATGTGGCTTAATTATTTACATACAGTGCAGCAAGAATAATTATTTTTTTTTACATAGGCCTTTGAAATTGGCTTGATGGAACTTTTTTTCATAGAAAGAATTTGAGATAAGACTTTTCTAAAGCCAAGCCCATCCGTGGGTTTATACTCAGAGGAACATCACACACTGGGAGCAGTTGTGCGGGGTAGGGGGAAAGTTTAACTATTTTTAAAAGAATAGAAAAGAATTGCTAGTTTACAGATATACAATCTTCAGTTTTATTTCTACTGCTGCTATAAACTGAGCTACCTGGCTTTTCTCTATTACATATGGTTTATTTTGCACATTAAAATAATTTTCAGAATTAATATATTGCAAGATACTTTTTTAGACATTTAAACCACATTTTGAAGAGGATCTCATTTATCCCATTTTGTAAGAGAAATATAAATGTGTGGAACTGAATAAGCAAAATCATTGCCATTTTCTATGAATAAAATGACATTAATTTTTGAACATTAGATGATTGTCAGCCAGCTGTAATATCCTACAAGAGAACAGGAAGAATATCCCTTCTTTTTCTGCCTTGCAATCTCTCTTTAATGTCCCTCATTGAAAGAATCTTAACGGAAGCATATGGCAAAGGAGAAAGTTAGTTTATAGTCCCAGCCCCAACATCAGAGCCAAGTATAAATGAGTTTATTTGGAGCTAAGAGTTAATAATTTAATAACTGGTAAGCTTAGTATTAGTGATTCTATATGCTAAAGTTTAATCCAGTTTTATATTTTGTCATCAAATAACATAAACTGCACAGAATGATGATTAATAATGTAGACTTTAGAATCAAGCAGCTAATCCTGGCTTCTAATTGGAAATATGGATAAATTCCTGAAACTGTCCAAGCCATAGTCATTTCATTCTTAACATGAAAATAGTA